TTTTTTTTTTCAAAATTCCATGCCCAGGCTAATCTTCTTGGATCATAGCCCCTCAAACTACAATAAAATACAATAGTACATACACAACTAAGAGGACACAATTTGAATAAAATATTTTGGCAATATATGTCACGACTCCCTCCGAAGCTGCCTCAATCTCCTTGTTCGGCAGGCTTCGGCGTTCGTCGTCACCGGCCTTCTAGCCACTGCCGTCCTCTTTTCATCATTCCATTTGTTTTGTCTTATTTTACACACACTGGTACAATCCCCTCATCAGTCTCTGTATAAGTTTTTCCCTCTGTTTCCCCCATGTCTTGTGTTTTATTTTTCCCATGTGGAGGTGTTGTTAGCTCGTGTTGAGCATTATGTTCCTTTTATCGCCGGGATATTCACCAGTGTGTTTGTTTTTCTAGTACTCATTAAGTCGCACTGTATTTGGTTTACACATTGCGCGAACTGCTCTATTGGCAATAAACCAATTATTTGATTCACACCTCCTGTGCCTGGCTCCGTCCTACTCACCTTTTACAGAATACACACACCCCTTGGGCCTATTGTTAAAAAACTATATGTATATAGTAGGGTCTCCAAACTTGAGCAGAGAGATATTTTAAAAAAATGAAGCAGTTGCCGAGCTACTCATTGCCTAGCCTTGAAATAGCAGCATGTTTTCTCTCCTCTCCCGCAACTCTTCCATCCTTGTGTAGAAGAGAAAGTATGCAACATACGTACCTGGTAAACAATGGTTATAAACAATCTCTAGGGGGCCTATAATATTCAGTGATTTCATTTCTCAAATTAGTTTTATTAGTTTTTTCTCTGTTTAATTATGTTCCTGGTTTTCATCTCAAAATAAAAAAAATCATAAAGAAACACGAAATTGTGTGTTCTGAGTCCATGTCAACATGGTGGTGGCTGCATCTGTATGGGATCTTGACATCGCAAATACTGGGAGTTTTGGCAGATACAACAAGTTTGTTTATTACACCATGACCTGGCCGGAATTCACCTTTCAGCAGGACATACCACAACACAAAGCCAATACCTGGAGTATTGCTTACCAAGAAGACAGTGAATGTCGTGTTCCAGTTTGATAATGTTGGAAACATGTCAAGACTTGCAAATTTGTCAGCATGATCCAACATCTTGACAAGCTTGAAGAATTGAAAGATAGTGCAGGCCAAATTTTGCACAATCAATGAAAGCTCTAACCTCCGTTTCCTAGTTCAAATGACCCGCCACTGTGTTGACCAACTCTTTAATTTTATATTTGGATCCTTTGTGAGAAGGAGGGAGTGATACTTTCTTTAAAGTCTCACTGCTCCTGCTCAAAAGATCCCAAATAATATAAAATTAAAGAAAGTGGGTTCAACAACAGTGGCGGGTCATTTTGACCCAGGACAACGGGAGTTTTAAAGACTTACCCAATAAGACTCACAGCTGTAATTGCTGCCTAAGATGTTTCTAACATGTATGGACTCAGGGAGCTGAATACTTATGCAATGACTATATTTTATTAATTTATTTTGTATTAATCATTAAAAGATGTTAGAATCTTTCTACCACTTTGACATTAGAGTATTTTTTGTAGATTATTGAAAAAAAAAGACAATTAAATCCATTTTTAATCCTACTTTGTAACACAATAAAATGTGAAGAAATCCAAGTGGTCTGAATACTTTTGCAAGTCACTGTATGTCTATAACCTAGTAGATTAGAAAGAAGGCTGACCTTTGACCAAACACTTTGGCACAGCAAGAATCCTGCTCAGATCAAATGAGGTAACAAGGTTACATGATGTGACTCTCTTCTGGTGATGATACACTTCTCTAGTCCAAACAGAGGCAATCTGGGACTGATACATACATGTTTGGATGTTATGATCTTCAGAAACTATTCAAACCTCTTGAATTTTTCCAGATTTATTGTGTTACAGCCTGAATTTAAAATTGATTAAATTGATATTTTGTGTTACTGGCCTACACAGAATACCCCATTATGTCAAAGTGGAATTATATTTGTAATTGTTTTACAAATTATTTAAAATGCTGAAATGTCTTGAGTTAGTAAGTAGTCAACCCCTTTGTTATGGCAAGCCTACATAAGATCAGGAGTAAACATTTGCTTAACAAGTCACATAATAAGTTGTAATAATTATAGTGTTTAACTTAATTTTTGAATGACTACCTCATCTCTGTACCCCACACATAAGTTCCCTCAGTTTAGCAGTGAATTTCAAACACAGATTCAACCTGAAGACCAGGGAAGTTTTCCAATGCCTCGCAAATAAGAGCACCTATTGGTAGATTGGTTTAAAAAAAAAAAAGCAGACATTGAAGTATCCTTTGGATGACCATGTGTGAAGTATTCTTAACTTTGGATGGTGTATCAAACACCCAGGTACTACAAGATACTTATTAACTCAGTTGCCGAAGAGGAAGGAAACGCTCAGGAATTTCACCATGAGGCCAATGGTGACTTTAAAACAGTTACAGAGTTTAATGGCTGTGATAGGAGAAGAACGGAGGATACAATCAACAAACATTGTAGTTACTCCACAATACTAACCTAATGGACAGAGTGAAAAGAAGGTAAGCCTTTACAGAATACAAATATTCCAAAACATGCATCCTGTTTGCAATAAGGACTAAAGTAAAACTGCAAATGTGGCAAAGAAATTAGCTTTATGTCCTAGATACAAAGCTTTATGTTTAGGGCAAATCCAACAGAACAATCACTGAGTCCCCCTTTCAAGCAGGGTGGGGGTGCACATGTATGTTTTGTCACGGAAAAGACTAGGGACTTTTTTAGGAAAAAAATAAAACGTAAAGAGTAACCAGGAAACCCTAGAGGAAAAACCTGGTTAGTCTGTTTTCCAAAACACTGGGAAAAAATTTAAAATTTTCAGCAGGATAAAACCCAAAATACACAGCCAAATAAAAAACTGGAGTGGAAAACCAAGAAAAACCCATTGATTTCCTGGGTGATTTATTTTTAATTAAATGGGATCAAAATCGATGGGGGGGGGAAAATGAAAATGGCTTAGAAAGATCAACAACAACTTGACAAGACGTTGAATAATTTTTTAAATAAAAAAATTTAAAATTTTGTACAACAGGTGGCAAAGCTTTTAAAGACTAACCAGAAAACACAGCAGTAATCTGCAAAGGTGATTCTAACGTGTATGACCCCGGGGGTAAATAGTAGAAATTAAAATTCGATTCTTTTCAAAAATTGCAACAATTTCTAAAAAGTTTTACTTTTCATTGGGTCATTTGTGTAGATGGGAAGAAAAAAAAAGATGAAATTTAATTTTGAATTCAGGGCTGTAACAAAAACAAAATGTGGATTAATTTTTAAAGGGGTATGAAAGTTTTAAGGCACTGAAAAAAGGGTTTCTTGAAGCCATTGATATGAAAAAATATATAAGCCCATGAGCTCAGTAAAAATTGTTACCCCATATAGAACAGCGACCCAGAGTAGCCAAAAGGAGGGATAGGTGGGAATGAGAGGAACCATTATTGAACAAAAAACAATACTGGAATTTATTAAGGGCAGAGTTTAAAAGGTTAAGGGGACTTGCTGAAACAGTTGTCCACCAGCAACATTCAGGATACGAAAAACTCACAAAAAAACGGATCCGGCAAACACTTCCAAACCAATTTACAGTGGGGAAAATAAATTTTTTCCCCAACAAGTTTCCCCTTAAAAAAAGAAGGGCTAATTTTCACATCCGTCACCCTAGACCAAATTAATTTTTTCCAGAAAACACATTTTTTTAATTTTATTTAAATAGTTTGATTTCCCCCCACAAACAGCAAGATTGGCTCCCAAAAGAACTTTTTTTTAAACCCCCCCCCCTTTTTATCAAAAATTTTTAAAACCCTTTTAATTTTTACAGTTAAAAGACCCCTGCCACCCAACAAATACCCCAAACCCCCCACCAAAAAAGACCAAAGGCCCCCAAAAAAAAAATTTTTCCCCCCCACAAATAATTTTTTACGCTTTTTTCCTTGGGGGCCAATTTTAAAAAAAGGGGATAAAACCACTGTTTTAACCCCTTCCCCCTCCCCAAACCCCCCCCCCCCCAAAAATCACAAAAACTACCCCGCCCCAAAAATTTTTCAGAAAACCAAATAACGCCAAACCAAACCCCCCCCCCCCGGGGCCCCCCCCCAGACCCCTCACCAAAAACCAAACCCCAAGTTTTTAACATTTATTCCCCCCCTTTAAACATATGGTAAAAACCAAAAAAACTTTTTTAAAAATTTTAACCCCAAAATCAGGGCACCAAAAAAAACCCTACCACTTACATTCACAGCTTCTTTTTTCAAAACCCTTTTTCCAAAAAAAATGGGGCCAAAAAAAAACCCCCCACGGGAAAAGAAACTTTCCCCCCCAAGAAAATCCCCAAAACCCCCCCCCCAAAATAAATCTCAAAACCTTTCAACCCCGGGGCCTACCGTCCCAATTCAACCCAAAAAACTTTGGGGGGGTAATCCTTTTCCCCCCCCCAAAACCCCTTCCCAAAACTCCAAATGGGGGAAAAA